TCGCATTTTCTGGAGCAATTTCACCGACGGCTGAGTTCCCCACGAAATAGTTTTATGCTAACAATTATGGATTTTTTTTTCAATTTTGTTAAAAAAAATGTGCATTATTACTCAATAAGCACTTGCTCTCCATCATTTGAAGTTTGACAAATAGTCCTGGTTATTTATGAGTAATGTTAATTAGTATGCTACAATTGATATATTAATTGACATGACCAAATCTCAAATTAACATTTAGCAAGTGAATATATAGATTTATGAAAATAAATACTATACAAGCGTGAAAATCTGGATAGTCCTCATTTTCTTTATAAAAAAATCACTTTTGGAAAAAGTGAGTTTTTCGGATCTCATTAGCCTAATATTCTAGAGAATCTTGACCTTTCCACTTGCTATTAAAAATGTCCCGAACATTCAACTTTATCGCGGAGAATATAAGCTTTCAGTTTAATATTAAGAAGTGATGAAATCTTAATTTTCTTTAAAAATGTTCCCACCTTTCAACTTTATCAAAGTTAATTTAGATATTTTAGGAGGATGTCCATAACTTTCTATACTTACGTAAAGCCAAAAACTTGAATTTGGTGTCCTCCCTCAAAATATTCATCGTACCCTTGACATATATTATTCTGAGGTAAAATTGTTGTGTAATGAATCGGCAGAGACGGAAAGCATTGTTTTTATTTTTTCGTTGACCACTATATGCACCAACAGGCTTTGAAGATGGACAGAGGAAACAGAATAAACTAATGACAACTCCTCTAAACGTGGAAGTGGAACTTGTGAATCAGAGCTTGCTACTGACTACCCATTACTAACAAGTGATGTATGTAGGTTCTGTATCTTTGGCACCACGATTGGACAGTTCAATCTGATAAAATCAAGAGGCGACGGCGGTCGCTGTATGCCATCATCGAATGAGTCGGGATTAAATGCACTCTCTTAATTTTGGACAGCGAAATTCTGTCATAAATATAATAGAATAGGCTGCAAAATCAGATTGAAAATGAAAGGAACACCTTATCTATTGTCGTCTCTGAACGGCAATTTGGTCCATCTAAAATGCGTGAGCCAAAAGATCCTCTCTGCAAAAACTAGTCATCTGAGGATTGTTCCCAGAATTCAATTGTTGATGATGCACCTATTCTCTCAGATACACTTACTTTTTGGGGAAAGAAAATAATCATTATCCGAAAGTACAGGAATGATAACATTCAAATCAAAGAACGAGCAGAACTTCAAATGGTTCGGGGACCTTCACAAGAGAACTTCAGATGCTGGTTGCTCGAGACATGATTACCGCACTTGTCTTGCTTCTCAGCGGAATTGGCTGAAACTAACATGGCAACCTTAATGGCCCACATAGGAGACAGATCTGCAGCTAGTGCATTCAATCTCCAATTCTGTCATACTTTAACAAAGGGTGCCTTCGGTGGTTAGTTCTTCCATATTCACTTTCACCTCCAAGCCTGTGTTTAATAAGGAACTAACCATGGCCGGGATATTGGCTTTGAGAGTAGCAGCCAATGCCTACAAGAGCGAAGAAAATGCGAGGTTGTAAAAACAGAGATAGTTAAATGCAACATATATACAACTAGCAACAGGAATGATTGGGAAAATATTACCAGAGCAATATATAACTACAAACAAGTAATATTTCTACTTCTACCCAAAGTGATAAGGATATTTAGTCAAAGTAAGTACCTTGTGGTCATCTTCTTTCTTCCGTTTGATAACCTCGACAGGCCACTCGCTGACAAGCTTTTGAAGTTCAACCATAATGCTGGACCTCTTAGCATCAGGTAAACTCTGGCATCAATCCAAGGCATTCACTTCATGAGAACTAAGAAGCGACATCTGAACAAACAGAGCCTATGTAGGTGTATTTCCAACTTTATCTACTTCAGGAGCCTAAGATGATCTTTCGAACTCACTATTAGGACCATGGAACTCACTTGTGTAATTTTAAACAAACACTACAGCAAGCACCAAATATGAAACCCAAATCAACCAGTCACCCTCAACGAGAGGATCTGTCACAGTAATTTTATCTGAGCACATTATGGGGGACAATTCAGTATGTCTTCCACTAATTGTTTTATTCCTTAACAGGATATGGAAAATTAAAGGACTAGTTCAAAGGTGGAGGTAATTTAGGATACAAGTCCTTGAGCTAGGAGATCATGCCAGATGGTGAGCATATCAAAATAGCTATAGATGCTCTGAGAAGTGAAGCACCTGATTCAAGACATGAATCACTGTAGCAGCCTCCTAAGGTTTTCCTAAATCCCTGCACAAAACATTGGATATAAAACCATTTAGTTCACCACAAAACAAGTAAATGACATTCAGTTAAATTTTAATCTTACCCCGGAGTGCTAAAAGCCACAATAAATGCTTCCAAATAGAGAAAAATAGTCATATCTCCTTTGTGTGTTGACAATGAATATTATCATGCCCATGGGTGCTTCATGTCCTACGGTGTGAGCCAAAATTTGGTTTATTCAAGCATGAACTCTCACTTTTTTTGGCCATAGACCTCTCAGCTGGTTTACCAAGAACTTTGTACTGATATCTATTTCAACTTTACTGTTTTCCCATGATCAGATTTTCGCATGCAAGAAGACCAAGTGCTTTCAGGGTCTGATATTTGTGATTTCAACAGTCTGTGTTTGCAAACTACCTTCGCACATGAGAACCCACTGCCCTCGGTGTGCTGCTTCATGGACTCAGATCTTAACTTCTCAATTTTCCATAGAGATTCAATGTCTCCTAAAAAAGGTAATTTCCGTCAAACCACTAAATAGGATATAGAAGCAAAATCTCATAACAAATAAAGAAACAAAGACGTTGAAAGACACAGTGTAGTGAAAATTCTTTTTATTACTTATTTCTACCCTTATGTTTAGGGAGAGAAAGAAATCATTGTACAGAAGAATATATTCTAGCACATCCTGTCTTTTGTAGTAAGTGGCAGGACCTGGATGAGAAAACTATTTGTGGGAAGAAAAAGAAAATATAAATTGCTGAGGGACAAGGGCTAGAGAGCATCAAAGGGAGACAGAGCGAGTGTTTCTCACCTGCTTTTGCAGCAAACTCCATCCAGATGTCAAATGCAGCTCTATGCAATTTCACCCCAACCTTGACAAATCTCTTCAAATACTTTGTGAGCAACCCTCAATTGTCTGTATCATAACAAATGCTGCAAAATTTTTCCATGGAAAAAAGGATGTCAAATAACATGAGTAAACTATAAGATTGAGAGTAGCAATGCAGACAAAATGATTAAAATAAAAACAAGTCGATTAAATCATATATAAAAAACACTTATAAATTGGATAAATTGCTTGATAACTATGTAGTATATTTCATATAATATTTAAATGCTTTAATGGCGTACTACATGATAATAACATCCTTCTCAGGATAAACAGCATGAAAGCAGGATAAACAGCACGGAAGTGAACCTGAAAACAATATCGGCTGTGCTGGGTTGCAACGGCAAGTTATTCGTCTTCAAAAGCCTCATAACTTCCTGCATGAGGGTAGCATCTTTGTGCTCTTTAGCATATTGCTGCATTTCAATACCATAAGTTAGCAGAAGAAATATGTAAATAAAACAAATGGAAAAAAAAATCACTTGATGTAGATACACGTCATCATTACCAATAAATGGTTTGCAGAGCCAATTGTAGGGGTCAATCCATAGACATTATGCTTCCATAAGGACTTCTTACCTACAATTTTGTCAACCCTTAGTTTCCATCATGACGGACTAAGGCACCATGCAATTCAAATTCTTAGCCTATACAAGGATTGCTGCAATTAATATAGATTCTAATTATATCATGTACTCCCAGTAACAATTAATTGCTGCAATCTCCTCACATGAGTTATACTATGGAACTACAGTTTTTTTTTTGTGGTCAAAATACTATGGAACTACAGTTTGATTTGATTTATTTTGCTTAAAAATCATGAAGAGCTTAACTACTAGAATCAGCTCGAACTGATAACTACTGAAGCTATCAGTTCATAAAAACACATATGCACAAAGTGAATGCTCTTTGCTAAGTTTCAACAATGAATACAATTACTTGAAGTGGAGGTGTCATGCAAGAAATCAAAGTCTTAGAGAGCCAGCAATGTGCGGAAAGACCCATTTACAGAATAAGTGTTTGATACAGTTGGATTGAGCTTAATAATGTCCGAGTTATAAACGAGTTAACAAGTTTGTACATGAAAAATAAAGATGTCATGATAGGCCCTTTGACCCTTTAAACACATTGAAGCATGTCAAGCAACTTAACGTGTTACTCACACAAGACACGTTTATACACATTTAACAATTTTATATGTAATTGAATTGAATGTGGTTTCACACATTCACATATGAAAAACTATTTCTTGGATATGTTATATGTGTCGTGTAATTTCCATCCACTTGCTTAATAGATGTGTTGCATCTGTGTAAACAAATTTCTGGTTTACATAATTGATAGAGCAAGGAAAAAAAAAACACAAAAGCACAACTTGCTACCAGTGGGGTGGTCAAAAGTTCTCATAAGTGACTGAATTTGTTCTCCAAGCCTGACAGGCTTGAGGTAAAAAGATCATTTGAGAACAGACAACATACAATAAAATGATTGTGCTAATGATAGGGTCTACAAGTAGCAACAATCGAATGCAGAAGAGGAATCAGGTAAAGATATTAGCAAAATACAAAATTTTTTAACTTGGCACACAACTCGTGTAGATAAAGCTTACCAAAGTCAAGAGCCCTAGCACGCACCCATCCTTCTGTGACTTCCCGACAAAGGTTGCAGTTAAAATTCTCATGAATTCGAAGATTTGAGAATCTCTGCAATGAAAGGAAAAAACATGTTAATTTATCAACTATTCAATAATTAAAACTTTACTTCTCAAATGGAGCAAGAAGTCAACTGACAAATCTGCGTAGGTTCTGCAAGACATCAAAGAGAAGCTTAGTATCCTCTCCGTTCTTGCAATTTTCAATCATCGACCACGTTCATGCGTTTGGAGCCATTGTTCTTTTCGTATTAACGGATTCAATAATTTTATCATACATCTCCTTCACGGTCTCTGCGTAATATAACAAGAACCAAATATCAGAGAAAGAACTAAACAATTTGTCAAGCCACATATTAGATGGAGAAAAAGGAAAAACCTGTGGGGGGTTCCTCCTTTTCAGCACTTGCTTCGGAAGAATACGGTAAACGCAAAATTATTGAATAAGGGGCTGCAGGCAATCTATTACCATGAACCGGCCCTGTGAATTCCAACGAACATCACATCAAAACCCTGTACTGCCAAGAGAAATGCAGCTCCCTCTTGTACCAACAAGGAAACAAACTAATTCAACCCAGAACCGACATTCAAGAACACGAAGCAACTCGACTCGAAGAAACAATTCGACACGATCGATTCCATTACACAATCACGTCTCCAATATCATATATACGAAGCAAGCACAATGGACACAATTAAAAAAAAATGACATTTCAATTAACAAGCACAATCCTCACAGCATAATCATCCCTCCGTTTCAACTTGACTACACCAGGCGCGCACATCCCTCGAGCGAGTTATTCAGACTTCTTCATCAATCATCAAATTCTCCACCCCCTCATATCTAGACACCAAACTCAACCTAAAAAAAAGCCCCCCCAACACTAACAAAGAACCATCACTCTGGCATCCACAATCCACCGTCGAAATTCCTTTGACGGACGAGAAGCGCACGCTACCTGCGAAACCGAGGGACTGAGCAGCGGAGGAGAAGGAGGAGGAGCTGCGATTTCGACATGCCCGCGCACAAATCTGAGCGCATTCCACGACTTGGCAGTCGTTCGGGGGGATGAATCCGGCCGAGCCGAGATGAACCGGAGGCTTGAGAATGCGGTGGAGCCTGCGAGCTCTCGAGGCGACGTGCATGGCTTCGACGCGATCGAATCAACGAGGTGGTCGTGTTGTGTGCCGAGCGAGGTTTTTCTCTTTGGCTTGTTCAGGGTTTTACGAGGAGGAGGAAGAAGGAATGCGGTAATGTTCTCCTGTGGCGGCGTCCATGGCCTCTTACGGTGTGGAACAATCGATAACTTTTTGCTATGTAGGGAGGATAAATGTTTAGAAAATGCTTATTATTTAGCCAAAAAATATATTAAATTATGGCAAGTTGAGAGAAATTCAAATTCCATTTGGGAAGTAAAGTATTTGTGGGATTAATTGATAATATCTTGATTATTCATTTACTGACATTATTACAATTCATCTTCACAAAAAGATGAGATTAAGCTTTCTAACATGCTTGCTCTCGGTCTATTTTGATTTAGTGGTTCAGGAAAGAATTTGTACGTGGATTCAGAATATTGTATAATTTCAATTTCCTATACAATTAAGTACAAACAATTTCATGTTTGACGACCATATGAATTTTGGTTCATGAGGTCGATCATAAGCATTTCCCGCTTTTTATCCAATGACTTATTACATGCCTCTAATTTAAAAATACTGAATACATATATGAGTTTTGCCTTTGGAGATCACGTTGCACTAATGGTAAAACAATTATCTCTTTTGGAAGTAATAGCCACTAACCGATATTACTATTAAAATATATAAGCAACTTGTAATCTCTAGGTGGAAAAACACACCCACTTGTAGAAGTAAACAACTATTCATAATCTACTAAAATGTGCAGCTTGGTAAATTGATTATTTCGGTAATATGTTACTGACAAACATACATAGCTACTCGTAAAATTTAAACAATGTTGATAATTCTATTAAGAATTTATATTAACCAAAATGTTGGTTACTACAGTTAATCGAGACTACTAACGAAGCATGTAAGCAATTGTAATCTACTAGTGTAAGTACTTATCCACTTATCAAAGCAAAGGATTGCTCCTAATCTACAGGAGCATCTTAATATAGTAAATCGACTTACCTAGTTAGTATGTTACTGACAAATAAAAATTCTACTTGTAAAGTTGAAAGAGTGTTAATAATTTACTTGGAATTTATAGTTGGAAAATATTTATTATGTTCATAAGTTACAACTGTTAATCGAAACTACTAGTAAAGTACATAACCATTTGTATTTTACTAGCGGGAGTACCCACCCACTAATAAAATCTAAGAAAAATGGTAATATGCGACTTGGTTTGAGGATGAAAAAATTGTTATTTTTTAATAACTTATAAACAGTTGATTAGACTAAAAATTTATTGGTTAATTTTGCTTATCGGCAATATTTCAAATTTACATTTCACAGAAGAAAACTCTGTTTTTGGCGAACGGCATTTAGAAACGTGCAAGATTTCAAACTACAATTGTCTGATCAAATGAACAGCTCTGGTTAATAGTTTGATCCAATCTCGAGAGTAGATGACATTGTGAAGAAATTGTTTATGTTCTCGAGATCTGAGAAGATTCGAACTTATCCTTTTCAAATAGAAAACTCTACACTGTCCTATGACATGTGATAATGTGAATACATTGACATTCTCCCCTTGAAATTTAAAACTCGTAGGAATTATTTATGTTCTGAAGATCTGAGAAGAGTTGAACTTGCCTTTTTAACGAGAAAACTCTGCACTGTGCAATGTCAAATGCAAAAACATCAACGTTCTCTTCTTGAGAAAAATCAATATGGTCCGAGTTATTGGAAGGGCATTTTGCTAGCCTTGGTCTGTCCACCGACTTGACCTTCTAATGACGTTCCGTCCTTTTAATACTCACACATGCCCGCAAGCACAGCTGAAGGACCTATTAAGTACATTGTTTTTCTGGTAATATGAAAACCTTGGGCAAGAATGCAAACAGCCACCTAAATGCAGGATTTTTAATTTTGCCCATCAAGTAAAGGGGTGTGTATCAGTAATTAAATATGAACTCAAAAAGGAGATTGAAGGGCCAAATCTGCAGAACCAACCTCAGAAAGGGGCAATTTTTCGTTCTTGAGATCAGAGAAGAGACAAACTTTTATCGAAGTGGATGAGCTTGGCCAGTCTTGGAGACCGTCACGGCACGTGAAACGTTGCTAATTTTAATTTTTTTGACCTTCCTCAAAGCTAGTGCAGTGTGACCATTATTTGGGAAATGCCACATGAAAGACAGTGGCCTTTTTCCATTCTGCGAGAATATTCTTTCGGAAGCTTTTATGAAATTGCAGTTGAATATTCTCAAATAAAGGCACTCAGGGGGACAAAAAAACAAGCGTGCATTGTGCCCTGTGAAGTGTGAACTCGAACACTTGCACGTTCCTACTTCGTAAGTCTACGTTGAACCTTTGCATTCCAAACCACAATTTTCTAGTACAGGTCCTTCTTAGAGTGATAAGTATATTACCAACACTATCAAGAATTTACCCGCATTCAAATGAAGTAATGAACCATCAATCCCTCTGAAATTTTTGCCGTTGCCGTAAGTAATCACAGGACCACCTGTAAGGGTTGCAGCCCATCATTTTAAGAATTACCTGATGATGTTAATGGGGACCTATCCTGATATTTTGATAGGTCGGAATGGGTCGGAGATAAAAGAGAAGAATTGAGTTAGGAGGGGCCACTTTGGTATTAAAGAAACCCGCATTTGTCAACCTTGACAGGCTGTAATGAAACACTCTTATTGACCAATTCTAGCAGACTGGCCCTCGACTCTCTCAACATTGAGCCAATCCCGTCTTCTACGTTTAATGACCCACTGAGATCTCCATTTGTAACTCCGGTACTCGCACTCGTGATCATGGGTTCCAAGCTTTTTCCATCTCTGGCTGCCACTGGTTTTGCTGCTATGCTGTTCTATTTTTTCTTGAAGAGAAGATCAAGGGCAATCACTGGAGGGAAGGCAAATAACAATGCAGCTGCAAACGATCCAATAGCAGGAGGCGCTTCCGGTGCTCACACTTCAACAGAAGGTCACGGAATGGGTACTTTTGCTGCTATGCTGTTTAACTTTTTCTTGAAGAGAAGATCAAGGGAAATCAGTGGAGGGGAGGCAAAAAACAATGCAGCTGCAAACGATGGAACAGCAGGAGGCGATTCTTGTGCGCACACTTCAACAGAAAGCCACGGAATGGATACTTTTGATGCTATGGTGTTTAATTTTTTTTCTTGAAGAGAAGATCAAGGGAGATCACTGGGGGGGAGGCAAATAACAATGCAGCTGCAAACGATGGAACAGCAGGAGGCGCTTCTTCTCTTCATCAGGAGCAAATAAGGATGCAGCTGCAAACGAAGGAACAGCAGGAGGCAATTCTGGTACTCACACTTCAACATAAGTACATGAAACGGCTACTTCATCAGGATATGACTGAAGTATTCTTGAGCTTCAGAGGACCAGATACTCGAGCAGCTTTTACCGACTTCCTTTACACTAATCTGACAGATGGGGGAATCCGCACATATAAAGACGACAGAGAGATCCCGGAGGGGGAAGAATTTGGCCCAAAACTTCTCCAAGCAATTAATCAGTCGAAGATCTTAATACCTATCTTTTCAAAAGGTTATGTCTCTAGCGTATGGTGTCTCAAGGAGCTAGTCCAGATGGTCGAGTGCCAGAAAACTAGAAGACAAAAAATCATGCCTATTTTTTATGATGTGGCCCCTTCAGAGGTTCGACACCAAACTGGAGATTATGGAGAGGCCTTTCGTTCACATGAAAAGAAGCAGCCATATGACGAAGAGACTATGCGTCAATGGAAGGCTGCTCTCAATGCAGTTGGGGCAATAAACGGATGGAGCCTGCACAAAAAGACCAACAGGTGACTGCTGTTGTGCCTTGTATCATTAAAACTCGATGCATTTCATTTGTTTTCTTTCTTGTTGAAATTTAATTTCATGCTATTGAAGTTATACCGTAGAAATCACCCTAAATAACATTACAATCCCAATTTTGTCCTTTTTCATTCCAAACAACATTTTCTTTTCAGGTCATTTATTAACCTTTAGAACCAACGCTAATTTATGTACAATGGAATATATCCTTGGAGAACACATTGCAAATAGGTTTGTAGTTTTCAATTTGGTCTTGTCAGAACATAGTTTTCTAACTCATTGCGTTTTGACCTTTAACAAACACTAGGCGAGAAGGTGAGTCCGTAAGAGATATTACCAAGAAGGTTTTCAGTGAGTTGAAAAAGCCTTATATGGTGGTATCAGACAACTTGGTCAATGTCGACAACCATGTGGATGCAATCATGGAAATGATAGGTGCTCAGACAAGTGAAACATGGATTATAGGAATCCATGGGATGGGTGGCATCGGAAAGACAGCTACTGCCAAAATCATCTACAATAAGCTTTTAGAAAATTTTGAGGGTTGTTGCTTTCTGTCCAACATCTGCGAAATGTCAGAACGCAAAGGCATTGAATGCTTGCAGAATCAGCTCATCTCTGACATCCACAAAAACAAATGCACAGATATAAGAACCATTGATGATGGGATTAAGATCATCAAAGATAGGTTGTCTAATAAAAGAGTCCTCCTGCTTCTCGATGATGTGCATGAAAAGAATCATATGGATGCGCTTGTAGGTGGGCGTGATTGGTTTGGTAAAGGGAGTAAACTTATTATTACTACCAGAAACAAAGAAGTTCTTGATGTTCTTAAAGTGGATGACCGTTATGAGCTTATGGGTGTGGACCGTAATCAATCTCTTCAACTTTTTAGCAAACATGCCTTCAGAAGAGATTCTCCTTTGGATGAGTATATCGACCAATCCAACAAGGTGATAGACATTGCTAAAGGTCTTCCACTAGCTCTTGAGGTCATTGGTTCACTTTTATCTCACACTGAAATGAAAAAGTGAAATGACATATTGGAGAAGTTGGAAAATGTTCCTCACACAGAAGTTTGACGTAACCTGAAAATAAGTTATGATGCATTAGAAATTCGACTCAAGCATATATTCCTCGATATAGCTTGTCTTTTCATTAGATATAATAAAGACGTTATGGTTCATTTCTGGGAAAAATCTAAATTTTTTCCGAAAGAAGCTATGGAAGTTCTAT